ATCTCTCTCTAAAAACAATAAGAAATTATTTAAATAACAGACTGCCATAGAAACAGCAAAACGTAACAAAGGAGACAATAAATGAGTATTAAAAGGAAATGGCTGAGAATTTTCCAGCATTAATAAAAAACATTCTAAACTGAATGAAAACAAAAATACATCTCAAAATCTGTGTGATGTGGCTACAACAATGCTTTAAAGGAAATTTACAGCATTAAAGACTAAAACAAAAGGGGGGGCTTGATGCTGTAATTGTAGAACACAACACATTGTAAGGCTAATCCACGTGGGAGATTCTGGATTTGTGTCTGAAGACCTCGGAATGCCCTGTTTATGTATAGGATTGAGGGCTGGCTAAAGTTAGGGCTGGATCACAGTGCTGAGACCCTATTGGGGGTGCTATCTCTCTCTTGCTCATAGAAGAAATGAATAAATGGACTTAAAACACATACAGACACACAGACTTGCCTTATAAAAGTGATTAAGTGAAATGGTGTCAAATCAATGATTTAAGCTTTAAGAAATTAATGGAAGAAAAAAAAAAGAATTAAACCCAAAGCAATTAAAAGGAAGAGTATAATAACAAAAATAGGAGCTGGCAGGTGGTGTGGTGGTTAAGGCACTGGACTCCCACATAGTTGACATGGTTTGAATCCTAGACCTAGCAGTTTGCTTTCTCTTTCTCTTGTCAAGGTGAAGAATAACAATAACAACAAAATTAGAACTAATTCTTTTTTTAAAAAAATAAATAAACAAAACGCAGAAGAAAACCAATAGGGAAAAAGCCCCCAATGAAACAGAATGGTAGTTTTTTGGAAAGATCTGTGGGCTGGACCCATTGCCTAATGGTTAAGGGAGCTAGATCCTACAAGGTGGACAGTGCAGTTTGAGTTCCAGCCTTGGGGGCTTGAACAACATGCTAGGTGAGGTTGCATTTATGTATAAGATCTCAACAGGATGAAGAAATGGAGAAGGGATTGCACTGTGACCAAGTCCCATTGGGGAGGTGCTTTCTCCCTCTCCCTCTGTCCAGTGCATTTGCCCTTTCACAAAAAAAGGGAGGGGGAGGAGGAAGGTCAGTAAAATTAAGAAGTCTTTAGACAGAATCACCAAGAAAAAATAAAGTAAATGAAATGATCAATGTTGGGAATGAAAGAGAGGACATCACTACAGATGCTATAGACTTTAAAAAGACAACCAGGAAATAGTTTGTACAACTATGAGCTCATAAATAAGGAACAAAGATAAAATGGACACATTTTTTGATGGACACAAACTATCAAAACTCTTTCAGAAAAAAACAGATAACTTGAACAGGTATTTTAACTATTAAAAATAATAGAACTTTGGGACCAGGAGTTGGCATAATGGCTATGTCGCTGAACTGCTATGTAGTCGACCGTGGTTCGAGTCCTGGACCCAGTGGCTTAAACTCATGCTGGGCTTGTGCGCGTGCATGCCCGAGATCCCAAGAGGAGAATGGAGAAGGAATTGCGGCGTGGCCATCCCCCTTGTGTGTGGGGGGTGATTTCACGCTTTCTCTGTCTCTGTCTCTGTCTTTCTGGAGAGTACATGCTCCCTATAGTAAAAACCTCTCAAAAAAAAAAAAAAAAAAAAAAAAAAGAACTTGTAAGTTTAAAAAATTTCCAACGTAGAAAATGGTAGCACCATATGGCTTTACTGGAGAATTTTTTCTCTTCTGTTTTCAGTAGAAGTTTGTGCAGTATTATTCCTCCCTTAAATATTTAGAAGACATAAATTGGGAATATAGACATTTCCAAATCATCTCCATCTTCACCACAGGGAAAAAACTCCCCTGTTCTAAGAATTAAAAAGTGACACATGGGGACCAGCAGGTGGCATGGTGGTTAAGGCACTGGACACTGCCACATGGCAGACCATGGTTCAAGTCCTGGATCTGGTGGCTTACTTTCTCCATTCTCCTCTTTCCTTCTCTCTCTGTGTCTCTCTCTGTCAAATTAAAAATAAAATGAATAAATAAAATTTAATAAATAATTATTTTTTTAAAATCAATTTCTTTTTTTTCTTTCTTTTTGGAGAGGTTTTCGCTATAGGGCGCGTGCACTCACCAGACAGACAGAGAGACATAGAGACAGAAAGTGAGAAATCATCCCCCGGGGGGATGGTCATGCCGCAATCCCTTCTCCTCCATTCTCCTCTCGGGATTTTGGGCACGCACGCACACGTGCCCAGTGTGTTTTAAACCACCGGGTCTGGGATGCGAACCGCGGTCGACTACGTGGGAGTCCAGGGACATAGCCATTACGCTAACTGCTGGTTCCCTTAAAAAATCTATTTCTTAAAAAAAAAAAAGTGACAGTTCTACAGCAATTTCTATGAAGAACCACCTCCATCTTGTGGCTCTTTATGGAACTGTTGCTGGAAACACTACAATTAAGATGAGTTCTTAAAATTCTAGGTACAAATTTGCCTTCTTGGTTATCAATGTTTCTGTCAGGAATTCAGAATTCAAAAACAAATTAGAATTCTCTTGAATTCTCAGTCATTCTTAAAATTTAAGCTATTCTTTTTTTTAATAATAAATTCATTCATTAATTTTAATTTGACCAGAGAGAGAGAAGGAGAGGAAGAGGGGGGAGATAGAGAGCGAGCGAGCAAGATACCAGGTCTGGGACTCAAATCATGGTTGGCCATGGAGGAGTCCAGTGCCCTTAACCACCATGCCACTGCGGGCCCCAAAATTTAAGTTACTCTTTAAATTCAATTTTCAGGGCCAACTCTATAGATAGCCTGGTGGTTAATACACCCAGATCCCACATGGCCAACCGCATTGTTAGAATCCTGGCCTTGGCAGCTTGAAAAAACATCCCAGGTTAGTGTGTATGCATGCCCAAAATCATGACAGGATAGAGAAATGGAGAAGAAGAGATTGCAGCATGACTATATACCCCATTGGAAAGTACATACACTCTGTAGCAATTTAAAAAAAGAAAAAAAGAGTTCTTAGGGCCAGCAGGTGGTGTGGTAATTAAATGATGGACTCCCACATAGCAGGATGCAGTTCAAATTCTGTACATGGTAGCTTGCTTTCTTGCTTTCTCTTTGTCTTTCTCTCTCTCTGATGAAGTTTTAAAAAATAATAACAATAATAAATTAAATAATTCTTAAAAGGAATTTAGTGTCCCCTCCTGCCACTATTGCTATGATGTTCACCATACTTGAGAGCTACAACTTGTTCCCCTTAGTGGCCCACTCTGGCAAGTGAAGCGCAAGGAGTGGTCACCCCTGGTTGAGAGTTACTAAATTCAGTCAGTGGTTCTTGACTAGGATGATTTTGCCTCCCAGGGAACATGTGGCAATGGGTAGAGACATTTTTTGATACTTTTAACTGGGGGGTATGGGATGGAATGGTACTGGAATCTAGTGGTTAAAAGCTGAGGGATACTGCTAAATGTCCTACAATACAATGAACAGAACCCCTACAGTAAAGAATTACATGGCCGCCAAAATGAATGGTGCCACAGCAGAGAAACTGAACTAGATACAACAACAGGTTCAGGAATTATTGTAATACCAGTATCAAATGTAACATCTGGCAAATGAAAAGCATGTCATAAAAAAATGAGCTAGTAAATGCAGCACATGCTGTAAGAATTTAGGCACTCCAGTTTATAACCAGAATGTATAAATACACAGAAAGTAACTACTCCCTACAGGTCCTTTCTATAAAGATGATCAATCACAATATTTCTTTTTTAGTGTTTTAACAATCAACAATTCACTTTAAAAAATCCTTCACATTTGATATCTTTTACTGAAATAGTGCTGCCCACCACAGGAGCACCAAGAGGGAAGACTAAAAGGTTTAATATTCTTTAATTGAAAACCCTGAAAATGCCACCACCCACACACCCTCTTGCAGGGCAGCCAGAGATGCTGGCACCTGTATATACGCTTTGAGCAACAATTCATCAGTCTTTCAAATTCAAATGAATGCAGAGGTGGAGGGTGGCAGTTTCACTGAGGGGGAAAAAAAAAAAGACAAACAGCATTAACATAAAAGATACAACAAGGAAAAAGCACATAGCCTGATTTCAAGCACCTTCAGCTATCCAATATTATAAAATGTCATCTCTGCTTTTAGATAAAGAATAACGAGGGACCAGCAGATGGCATAAGTTACATCGCTGGACTCCCACAGTTGACAGTGGTTCAAGTCCTGGACCCAGTGGTTTAAAACTCATGCCAGGCGTGTGTACGTGCATACCCGAAATCCTGAGAGGAGAAAAGACTGTGGCATACCCACGGGTGATGATTTCTGGCTTTCTGTCTCTCTCTTTGTCTCTCTGGTGAGTGTACATGCCCTAGAGCAAAAGTCTTTCTCTAAAAAAAAATAATGATGAACTTCGAAGAAAATTTAAAAGAAATACTAGAAAGTATGACTGAACATAAATTGGCAGAGTTGAGGTTGGTCACTATAAGCCATTTTAAAAATAGAGCTTAGAATACATCTTTAAGAAGAGCAAAGCGATCTACAACTATTAATTAAGACTCTTTAAAATATGAAGCCTTAACATTTAATTTCTACTTAGCTGTCTTGTATGTCTTCCCCATAAGACTGTGAACGTATCTAATTAATCTTTATATATCTAGCAAAAATTCAATGCCAGTGTGTAGGTGGCTTGATAAATTTATTTATTGCATAGATGGACTACCTGCAGAATTTGTTCTCCCCTGTAAATCTCTCTCCTAGTAAGACATGTCCTTTTATAAAATAAATTACCCATTTTACCTGTCTCTGTGTAAATAAATTCAGTGGCATGATGAACGATGTGTTTAGATCAAGTACGTCAGATAGCACGTCTCAGCAACATTTTTAGCAAAGCAGTCACTCCCTACCACTACTACCAAGAACAAGCAGGAGCACTGTTGTGGTAGATAAAGACTCCAGCAAATCTGGCTCAGTTGTCCATGAAAGGATTAGTATTTACCCTTCTCCTGTCATTATCATTCCTTACCTTCTTCAGGGGCAGCAGAAGCTCCTTCAGGTAGTACAGGCTGTAATTCTCCAGTTTCAGAATTATTTTCCAAATCAGTTATCTGGATTCCTTCCAAACGACCTCCTTTAGCATTAGTCCTCAAAGAGAGAGAAAACATTTTGATAGTTTTATGTAACTTACAAGTGATAAATAACCTATAATTTCTTCTCATCTAAAACTGAGCACTAAAGTAGGATATATGTACTAGTGTTTAATGCTAAATTTAAAATTTAGTTTCAAAAAAATTTCACTGAATATTCACAATAAAAGACTATAACATGGTGGATTATATCAATGTCAATATCCTGGCTGTAATATAGTGCTATAATTTTGAAGAATGTTATCATTAGGGAAAAGAGGACAAGTAAAGTAAATGAGAGGATTTCTGTACCATTCCTTTCTTTTTTTTAAAAAAGAATTATTTTGTTATTATTTTGTTATAGGGCACATGTGCTCACTAGAGAGAGAGAGAAAGTGAGAAAGCAAGCCACAAGTTCTCGGACTACAACTGCCGTTGTCCATGTGGGAGTCCAGTACCTTACCCACCATGCCACCTGCTGGCTCCATGTACCATTTCTTATGATTGCATGTGAACCTATAATTATCTCAATAAAAATTTTGATTGAAAAATAAATATAAATCACAGTCCTAAATAACGTTATCACTAATATAAAAAGATTTTCAGATATATTATGAAAAAATGTATATTTTTTTAAAAAAGGCTACAGCCACACTTGCTTAATTAAATATGACAGATTCTTTTAAAAAAATTCATGAAAAAAGTGTATCATAAAAAAAAAAAAAAATCCTATGTAGAAATCAAAAAAAAGGGGGGGGGGGGAGTTGGCCAGCCACAGCCTAGTGGTTAAGGCAGATGGATTCCCACCTAGCTGACCATGCTGTTTGAATCCTGGACATGGTGACTTGAGAGACACACTGGGACACATGTGCCCAAAATCCTGAAAAAAAAAATGGAGAGATGGAGGAAAAGGGACTGTGGTATGACTATTTCCATAGTAAGAACAACATAAATAAATGTGGACAAAGGGTTGAAAAATTAGGAAGATAGAAGATAAAGCAGATAAGAAAATTTTCACTTACTATCCTTTTTGCTCTTTCCATTTTGAAACACTGACCATTAGTATTTAAACTTTTTGAATATACTAAATAGGGCAGGGGGAAAAAAAGTAGGGATAGCACCCACATTACCGAAGTTGGTAGATGTAATTAATTATGAAATGAGGATTACCAGAGGTGCAGCCATTTGCATAAGATTTTTATACTCTAGAAAAAATAATCTATATTATATGCATTCCATCTGTATGACAAAAGGCAGATGTAAATATCCCTGTAACAAATAAAATATAAAAGTTATTGGGGCTCTAACTTGAAAGGAATGTATACAATATCAGGATAGGTTCTGGGGAACACAAGATAATCTCCAGATTTCACCACCTCTCTGCTGCTGAAACCTTAGCTACACAAGGGAAAACTAAACCATTTCAATTTTATAATGATTCAGACCTTAAAGCCACATAAAATTAAGTAAACTTAAAAGATGTTAATCTTTCTCTAAATTTAATTCTAAGTTCTCAAAGTCTCCAAGGTAGAACTATTCCACTGCCTAAATTTGGTAATGTATTTAATATCCATAAAATAGATTAGCAGATGATATCAATGGCTCGTTTTGCACATCCTCAGATAATCCATTCTATAATCACTCTATCTTTTGCAGGGATAGAAGTCCAACAGACATGGCTAGGATATGAGTCTATGTTTCCTGGGAGAGTGATAAAGGTGTCAGCTACCATATATTCTTTTGAGAAATTCCAACTATGAGTTTGGAAGATAATTTCATAAAGAGAGAAGATAAGATTAAAAACAGAAAAGCAGTGTTAAAATACTGGAAGTGCTTTGCTCCATACAAACTATATGTAAAGATCCATGAACAATGGTAAGGCACAAATGTCTTAGCTGAAAAGCATGGGGTAAAAAAAAAAACAGGCATATACACACACACACACCTCACAAGGCAGAGTTCCCACAAGGTTACACAAGTCACTGTTGTCTAACTTTAGTGAAAGTAAGTTCTAACACACATACACACACAGAGAAACTACTCTTGAGATTTTGGCCATGCATACACACATGCTCAGCATGCATGTTAAGTCACCGGGTCTGGGACTCAAACTGCAGTATAACCATTATATCATCTGCTGGTCCCAGAACTTCTGCACTATTTCTTTCCATTAGAAAAAAAAAAAAGTATGGTAAGATATCTGATACTTTAAAATGTTAGATTTTAATGAAACGGATGAACTTTCTGCTGGCTGACAAATGAACAAAGTAGAAATTACTCTTGTTCATGATGATACAGACTTTCAAGCAAAGGTAATCGTTATTATTCTACTACATAAACAAAAGAACTTAATATACCCCAAGGTGACCATTTTCCTCCTCTTCTCAACAACAGGCAAGCCACTGAAAACTGCAACCACAACAGCATCTGAATCCAAAGTTTTACACTGCCGGTCTTCAGTTTTTGGCAGAATATCACCAATATTGCCATGTGTCAAGGCTCGGGGAGAACTGTGTCTGCTCCCAGACTGAGAGCTTCCAGGGGAGCCTTCAATAAAAAGAAGAGAAAATATTCAGGAAAAAAAAAATATATATATATATTCAAATAAACACAAAGTTTTTTTTTCTCAGATTAGAAAATCCAATTATACATATCAAAGAAAAAGATCAAGAACAATTAAAAAATAAATTCCAATTGCTTTTGATGCCAGGTATTTAAAATTCAGGAGTCCACAATATGTAGTCTAATAAGTGCCTTTTCTCAAAGGTTTGTTTTGTTGTCAGATATAGACATTTTCAAATCAAACGTTGGCATTTTTTTTCACCTTGTAAGTACAAAAGCTAAACCACATCAATTTCCAATAACAGATATCTACTCATCAAATTACATTGAGTCTCCCAAATGTACCTTCAGACAGAGCCTGACCATCTCCTTTTGAACGACTGTTTTCCCCAGAATCCACTGCTCTTCGAAGGGACAGACTACCTGCTACACTGGACCGAGCTGGCTTGGGTGAATTACTCTTCTTACTTGTGGCTGCAAAGACATTTAAAAGCATTTCTGAATATGGTCAAATAGCACAAAATTCACTACCTAGTCAGTCAGAGAAAGGTTTAATCTTACCAGGCAAGGAAGCTGTCCCATCTACTGTATCCAAAAAGAAAACACATGACACGATGTAGCCCCATCTGGTTTATCTGGGGTTTTATGACAAAAGCACTCCTATCTTGTTGTTTGTTGATATTCTTTTTTTTTTTTTTTTTAAATGATCAGTTACTTAACCACGTTCTTGGCAAAACAGGGATAAACTCCATTTGTAAGGGCAAACACGGATCACAGGTAGCCCTGCAGCTGAGTAACAGTTTTGATTTTTTGGTAAAAATTTACAAGTCTACAATTTTCTGATCAACCTTGTACTCTCTGAAATTTCGCATTTCTCCTTCTCTCTGTCGAAGATCTCACCTTCCTGGTGTCTGGGCTTCCACAGTTTCTTTTTCTTGAAGTATCGGTGAGGTGTTTTGGGATTTTTACTTTGCTAATATCAATTTTCATGGAGGTGGTGATGACAAATTTCTGGTGTGTTCTACGCAGTGGAACGACTGAGGACCAGCGGTCCAGTTACAAGTAGCAAGGAAAAACCACTCTCTTGCCTCTGTGGCGTCCAGTGAGGATGATCAGAATGGTCCCAGGAGTGATGCTGGCTCGCAGCTTTCTCACAGGCTGACTGAAGGTTTTTTGCCGTGGCTCATCAGCTTTCGAGGCACATCTTCAGTAGGATAATACCTAGGCATTTTGTACAGTTTAACCACCTGGTACCACCATTCTTGTCTCCACCAATTGGTTTTGTACAGTCGGAAGAACCTTCTTTTTCTTTTCGATTCTGGATTTGGTGGCTGAGTATTTCCTCTTGTACATGGCCTTCCTGGAATACATGGCAGACTGGGAGTATCTGCCGATGCCCGACTAGGACTGGGTTTCAGCTGCAATGGGGCTTCCCCTTCTTAGGCTTTTTAGCCTTGGGGTCACCCTTTTTAACCTTGCTACTGGCATCAGCCTTCCTGGCTTCAGGTTTCTTCTCCTTAGTATCCTGCTTCGCAGTTTTTTCACCTGCCATTTTGTATATCACTTGTGGATAGTCTTAATTTAGAAATCTATCTGCAAGATTATCTATGAACTCCATATGAAAAATCATACCAGTCTCAATTAAATTAGGCTAAGTATTAACAAAATAGAACTCCCCTCAAACATGTGAAAATTATAAAAACATTATTCGATTAAAAAGTAAATCAGGGGACCAACAGATGGCGTAATGGTTATGTTGCTGGACTCCCACATAGTTGACCGCAGTTTGAGTCCCAGACCCAGTGGTATAAAACCCCTATCAGGCACGAGTGTACATGCCCAAAATTCCGAGGAGAGAATGGAAGAGAAGGGAGTGTGACATGGCCATCCCCTCTCAAGGATGATTTCTCACTTTCTGTCTCTCTGTCTTTCTCTCTCTCTCCAGTGAGTACACATGCCCTATAGCAAAACTAATCAGGACTTGGGACCCACCAGGTGGCACAGTGTTTGAGACTCTGGACGCCCACATGGTTGCCTGTGGTTCAAGTCCCAGACCTAGTGGCTTGCTTTCTCACTTTCTCGCTCTGTATTTCTTTACTGAGCACAAGTGACCTATAAGAAAAAAAAATTTTTTGAGAGGTTTTTTAGCTATAGGGCACATGCGCTCGCCAGACAGACAGAAAGAGACATAGAGACAGAAAGCAAGAAATCACCCCCCAGGGGGGATGGTCACATCGCAATCCCTTCTCCTCCATTCTCCTCTCGGGATCTTGGGCACGCACGCATGCACACGCGCCTGGCGTGAGTTTTAAGCCACCGGGTCCGGGACGTGAACCGCGGTCAACTACGTGGGAGTCCAGCGACATAGCCATTATGCTAACTGCTGGTTCCCTAAAAATTTTTTAAATAGTAATAAAATTAATCCTCAAAATAAACAGGTGGGATTACACCAGATTATGAAGTTTCTGCACAGCAAAGGACACCACAATTAGTGTGAATAGACAACCCTCAGAATGGGAGAGAATTTTTGTTAACTGTGCCTCAGACAAGGGACTAATAACTAGAATACAGAGAACTCAAGTGGCTTACCCAGAAGAAAATGATTAACCCAATTAAAAGATGAGAAAATGAGCTGAATTAACAACTCTCTAAGGAAGACATATGAACAGCCGAAAAGCATATGAGAAAATGCTCAACCTTCCTCATCGTAAGGGAGATGCAGATCAAACCACAATGAGATACCGCCTAACTCCAGTCAGAATGGTGAAGATTAAAAAAACAAAAAATTATAAGTGCTGGCAGAGATGTGGTGAAAAGGGAACACTCCTACACTGTTGGTGGGAATGTAAATTGGTCCGGCCACTGTAGAGAATAATATGAAGGTTCCTCAAAAACCTTCAAATAGAACTACCATATGATCCAGCAATCCGACTCCTGGGTATCTGCCCAAAGGACAGGAGAACACTCAGTCAGAAAAGCGCTTGCACAACTATATTTATTGCAGCATTACTCATGATTGCTAAGACATGGAACCAACCCAAATATCCACAAACTGATGAATGGATTGAAAAGTGTGGCACATATACTTCATGGAATATTATTCAGCCATAAAAAACAAGGCCCTGGAATTTGATAGAAAGTGGACAAATATGGAAGATTTGTTGCTGAGTGAAGCAAGTCAGGCTATGAAAGACAGACACTGTGTCTTCACTTAACACAGACAGATTGCACTCAATGGTAGAAACTGAAAGACTGGAGGACATAAAAGCATTAAAAATTGTTATGGACACTAGAGACAAAGTGGAGAGTATGGGAGGGGAAGAGTGCAGGAAAGGAAATTAGGGGAAAAATGGAGGGATAAGATATTTGTGGGACACAGATGTAGTTTGTTATCTGTTCATGAGGGCATGTATAGTATTCTCAACTGGACTGAGGTGTGTATCATGCTGGGTAAAATCTCTTTACAATCTAAATGATGTATAATGATTGAGTGTATAAATAATAATAATAAAACAAAATAAAGAAAATAGTAAATAAAATAATTTTTTTAAAAAATAGTACATCAGGACTGACTCTGTCACACAACAGTAAGACACTGCTAAAGAGATGCCAGATTTCACATGGTGATCATAGTTCAAATCCTTGGCCTGGTCAGCCTGAAACAAGCTGGTGTACACATAAGTGTTTAAGATCTGAAGGGCTGAAGGACTGGAGGAAAAGTACCGCAGTGTGACCAAATCCTGTCCAAAGTGCTCCTTCCTGCCTTACCTGCATACTCCTTACCTGCATACTCCTGTGCTCTATCATGGAAAGCAGCTATTGTCACCACTATATACCAATGTATGCTGTGCTCTATCATGAATAATGAAAAAAAATCTAAAACTGAGCTAGAAACAGGTCACAATCACAACTTCAAATCAAAATAGCTGTGGTCAACACAGTTAATGAGAACAAAATATGCAGCCTTAAAATGAATTGACTAGAAAAAAAAGGGGGGGACTAAATAGCCTAATGTATATAGACACATGAAGATGGAAATTAATAATAAACAGAAGAGATTCACTAATAGATAAAGCAGATTCAGCAAGGGTATAGGATACATGACCAATGAGCGAATGTCTTTCCAAAAATAGACAAATATGAGAATGAAATTAAGAAAACAATTTATTTTTTATTTGCCAGAGAACACATGCATGTGACAAAGAGAGACAGTAACAGAGAAAAAGCATGCATACAATGGGGTATGGTCACATCACAATCGCTTTTCCTTCATTTCTCCATCCTGTCAGGATTTTGAGCATACAAACACATACACACACACACACACACAAGTCCAGTGTGCTTTTCAACTCGCCAGAACAGGATTTTGAACCACACAATCAGTCATGTGGGATCCGATTCCCCAAACAACAATTTAATTTACAACAGTATCAAAATGAAATAAAATACATGGAAAAAAATTTAACAGAATCAATGTAAGACTTGTATATTGAAAACTACCACACATTGATGAAAAAAAATTAAGGTGAAAGGGAAGACATCCTATTTTCACTGACAGGAATGCTTAGTATTGCTAACAAGATGATACTCCCAAAATTGATCTACAGATTCAACACAGTCCCTGTAAAAATACCAGTTTTCTCTCCCTCATTTTTTTTAGATTGACAAGTTGATCCTAAAATTTATATGAATAAATAAGAAGCCCAAAATAATCATAATGTTCTTCCATGGAAGACATACTTATTTCAAAGCTTACTATAGAGCTATAGTAATCAAGACTGTGGTATTGGAATATGGATAGTCACATATATGATGAAACAAAACTGAACATACAGAAATAAATCCTTACATATACAGTCAGCTGATTTTTTTTTTTTCCTAATTGCTAGAGGGCATGTGGTGCTCTCTAGAAAGGGACAAAGCACCCTCCAATGTGGCATGATCATGCCACAATCTCCTTTCATCGCTTATCCTATTGGGATTTTCAACACATACGCACACATGCCTGGCATGTTTTCAAGCTGCTGGAGAAGGGATATGAACTGTGGTCAGCCATTTGGAATCCAGCTCCCTTAACTACTAGGCTATCAGGATGGCCTACAACTGATCTTCTTTGACAGGGATGCCAACACAATTCAATCGGCCAAGAAAACAGAGGGCCTTTGAGTGTGCCCAGGAGTGTGGTAAAATTAAAACCCTCATACGCTAGTGGGGGAGTGTAAAATGGTGCAACACTTTGGACAATAGCCTGGCACTGGCAGTTCCTCAGAAAGCTAAACGCAGTTCACAGATAACCCAGCAACTACACTCCTAAGTATATACTCATGATAAACAAAAACATGTCAACACAGAAATCTGTCCATGAATATTCACAGCAGCATTACTGATAACAACCAAAAAGTGGAAATAACCCAAGTTTCCATCAACTAAAGTGTAAAGAGATGATAGGTAAAGTACAGCCATACAAGGAAATA